TCTCCTCAATGAGACCACGGCCTCACGGTGAGTTAGTTAGTGGGTGAGGGTCCTGGGCACACGGCAAGAACACCCCAAGGTCAGGGGGCAGACCTCGGCGACCCTGCGAACGGGGGCTCCTCCCGGAATTCTTGGAAGATCTATCTGTTCTCATGTCCTGATGAAACCTAAACCGGGTTTCTGCTCTCAGCTTCTATTACACTGACAGCAGCAAAATCCCACTTGTGAAAACGAGAAGGTACAATTGAATGATGAGGCGCGTTTACTCTTTCAAAGTCCCACGCCTCCGATGGGGACGAGAGACTGCTGTAGACTGAGTATGTGTGCGCCCTGGAATTCCACACCTGGACACGGAATGCCCAGGGTGACGCTATTAGGAGGTGGGGCCGTTGGGAGGGGACTCGGTCATGAGGGTGGAGCCTGCTGAATGAGATCAGGGCCCTTGCAAAGGGCCCCCCCGAGAGCTCCCTCGCCCCGTCCGCCATCGGGAGAAGAGCAAGCATGCAGGAAGCTGACGCACCGCGCACCCGGTCTGCTGGTGCCGTGCTCTCGGACTCCTCAGCCTCAGAACCGCGAGAACTAAAGAGTGCTGTGCGCGGGGCGCTGGTCTGCAGTCTTCCGGGCAGCAGCCCAAGCGGACGAAGACAAGACAGGTGTCCCTGCTGTAACCCGGCAAACACAGTTCGGCCCGAGCTCAGCGTCCGCAGAAGCGTGTCTACAAACACCGAGCTCATGGAGAAGGTGGGCTGCACATCTGTGCTGCTCTGTAATCAGAACTCTCGAAAAATCCATCCTAAAACATACTGGCGCCGTTAAGGAGATGAGGGAAGTTGGTTTTTTAAAAATTTAACGTGGCGATCATGCTAGGATTTGACCTTAAAAAAGGCCCTGGTGAAGGCAGCTTGGTCACAGGGGTGTGAGGCAGAGTGGCAGCTGCCGAGTTGTGGGGCAAAATGGTTAAAATGGGCAAAAGCACTGACGACAAGCAGAGCCCGTGGCCGCTGGAGCCCGAGCAGCACAGAGGACGACGGGGGACGACGGGGGACCAGCGCCGTGGGTGGGACGGAATTGTCCGGACCTCAGCACTCAGCTGTCTGGGCGCAGCCTCGGGTCAGGTGCTGGTGCCTGGTCCCACAAAACAGGAATGTCCTGGCAAAAATGACACGTGAACCCACGCTACCTCCGGGTCGTGATGACATCGTTCCGTAGTCGCCAGTCACCGAGCAAACACCCCAGCAGCCGACACCCCCTCCGAGACGATGTCCTCCCAGCGGCCACGGCGGCCCGAGCTTTCAGCCACTGCCCAGGGACGTCCAGGACCCACAGACACGGGCAGGCCCTGCTCAGCATGGGGGACGCAGGGAAAGAGACACAGGAAAACGAGACGCACACTGTCGGCAAGAGCACCCCTGGGCGAAGGTGGCGGACGAGTAAGCCCAGGTGAGGTCACTGCCGGGGAAGAGGGACGTGCGGCCGGACGAGCATCCCAGACGCGCCCAGAGACTTCCCCGGCTGACTCAGGCAGGTTCACGGAGTCGGCCGAGTGAGGCCCATCCTGCCCCCCCAGGGAGTCTTAGCCAAGTTACTCTGCAACCCAGGTGTCTGTTTTCTGTAGCAGAGGCAATAAGAAGAACTGTACCTGTCCCCTGCGGGGGGTCCATGAAGAATCACCGAGAACAGTGCCAACAGCCATGGGGCAGAGCCCGCCCCCGCTACAGGAGTGGACGTCCGAGGAAGGGACGTGTCCGGGGCAGCCCTCTCCGCGCTGGGCCCGCACAGGCCCCGCAAGGACGGCCACTTCACAGGGGTAGGATGGCGCAGGGACTCGGACAGCATGCGCGCGGCATTTGAGAAGTGCCCAGGACAGGTCTCCCCCTACGCCTTCGACCCTCACGCTCTGCGGAGGCACCGGAGCGGGCCTGGGGCCTTGCCCTCCTGAGGAAGATGAGCCTCCGCGAAGGCAGGCGTCTTGCCCCAGGCCCCTCGGCCCCGTAGCAGACCCAGCACCATGGAGCCCGCGAGCCCGGGTTCTGGGTGCACCCCTTGCGTACACGCCTGTGGAGCCGGGCCAGCAAAGGGCACACTGACTGGCTCGCCCCTGCCCCGGGGCATGTAAACACGGCCTCTAATTCTGACACCTGGTGCTCCTGGCACACGGAATCCCGTTCACTGGAACAGGGTGTGGCGATTGTTAAACTGCGTTCAAAGTGGCGTGTGCGGGAAGCTGCCTTTGGGAGTGTCCTCGGTGGGGTCACCTTCGTGGGCGCTGGCTCCGGAGGGCCAGGAAAACAGCAGGGCCCACCCAGACACCCCTTCCCCGCGCAGCGGTGCTGAAGCCACTCACACAGGCCGCAGAGAACACTGCTCTCCGGGGTCCACACCCTGTCACTGGGGGCGGGAGCCAGGGACGGGGGCCGCTGGCCTGGACCCAGCCGGGAAGCTGCCACGTCACCCCTACGGGCAGGTTTGTCGCAGGGCATTAGGGCAGATGACATACCACTGAGGGCAAAAGGCGCCCTGTAAGGACCAGCGTGAGTGTTTCCCGTCACCCCCGTGTTCACCTCCGCGGAAGGCAGAGCGTGTGCCCGCGACGCTGTCAGCCCAGGGAGCGTGGTTTCTGCCTGGCGGGCGCCTCCCTCGGGTGAAGGGCAAGGGAGATGGCCAGGAACAAGGGACACCCCGCCGGTGTTCCTGCAGGACAACCGTCCAGCAGCCGGCCTCCCGCGCGGCCCAGCAAAGGTGGGGCATCGAGTAGCCTCCACCTGAGCTTTAACGGGGTCCTCACCGGACATCCTGGGGCCACTCCTGTGTGCTGGGTGCTCTTCGGGCCTGAGGCGGGGACAGGAGGAGACAATGCCCCTTCTCAAGGGGCCTCTGCTCAAGGAGGGGCCAGGAGCACCCCAGGGGGCAAGGCAACCACCACGGAGGAGCACGGAGCGGGCGGGAATGCACAGGGCTGCCGCCCTGGGGGCTGGGGTTTACCCGGGCACCTGGCAGCGACCAGAGGCTGTAAGCGAAGGCGCTGACCCAGTGAACGTTTTCACATCAGAAGTCACCTGACGTCACCATTCGACATCCTGGGAATGCTCGGGGGGGATTGTCCCAAAGGGCCTGAAATCTAGACGCTCAAGGCCGAGGTGTGAACTCGGCACGCCTGACTCACGTCCACCTGTGCTGCCGCCGTCCTCCCGTCCCTCCGCGGAGGGGTTCCCGCCCACGGCACACAGCCCTCCACCCACGCCACCCCAGCCTAGCACTAGCCAGGCCTCTGCCCGGAAGTGTGGTGAATGGGACACCTCCTCCTGGGTGAGGGGCAGCCTCCCCCACAGGGAAGGGGGTCAGGACATCAGACGGCAGCTCCTGGTGGGCGCCCGGCACGGCCCATGCCCCGCTGAACCCAGCCCTGCGTGGGTCCCACTTTATTTACTCGGAGGACGAGTCTGCTCAGCGCTGGAGGCACACAGATGCTCCCCGTCACGCCTGTTCAAGCTCAGAGAGAACCTTCCCTCGCAGAACAGAGGCCCCCTGCATCCGCCCATGTTTCTCAATAGCCATTGTCAAGGTAAGAGGAAAGAATATCTAAACCCGCTTTGGATTCCAGTCGTTAGTTCTGGAAACATTCTGCCTGAATTCGTCCGAGCCGAGCGGTGGGACGCTGGGTGTCTGGTAAGTCCCTCTGCTGCGGTCAAGTGTCCAGGGAGGAGGGAAGAGCAGGGTGCGGGCTCTGCTCAGACGCTCAGACGCTCAGATGCCCGAGCCCATGAGCCCCCGGGGAAGGGGCCTCGTCCACCTCGTCCCAGCACAGCAGCTGTGGGCTCGACTCTGCCACTGGCTCGGGAGCTGTGAGCCTTGGGGGCCCCCATCTCAATGGCCCTGACATCGCGGGGATACAAGGACCACCTGCCTCCCAGAAGGCTCGATGAGAGGGTGCGTTTGCACAGAGGGTTTGGAAACACAGCCACGTATAATCAGTCGGGGAAAGAAAAGTGAAATATTAGAGCAAGGCACAGGACAGCGCACGGTCAAACCCCAAGACGAGAGGGGCGGGTCGGCAGGTGCTGGAGCGCAGGGGACAGGCCCCGGAGCTGGGCGGGCAGGACAAGGCTCCTCCTGCACAAAGTGTCCACACGCTAACCCTGGGACACGTGAACGCGGAGGTTACATGCAGGGGGAGTGAAGGTCGCAGGTGCGATCCAGGTGGGAGGAGGTGAGGAGGTGATGCGGAACCTGATGGTCCCGACAGGATCACAGGGTCCCTGTGCGTGGGAGAGGGGTCCGCAGGGCTACGAGCAAGAACAGGCACCTCAGGAAGCTGGAGAAGGCAAAGCAATGCCCCCCCCCCGAGCCTGCAGAGGAGTCAGCCCCGTGAGACCCCTGCCCTCCAGAACGTAGGAGAATGAGCATGTGCTGCGTCAGCGGCTACGTTTATGATGAGTCAGAGCAGCGCAAAGTCACAAATACCAAAGGAGACCCAGGATTTTCTCTCCTGGGCCCGGTGGAGGGGAAGGGGTGCAGGCAGGGCCTGCCTGAGAAAGGCCCGGAGTCAGGACGTGCTTGGTGGAGCACGACCTTGACAGTAACAAGGGCCAAGGTTACGGTGGCCCCTGAGCCTGGGGTGGGGGGAGGCCAGACACGGTGTGCCTGGCCAGGGTGCGACCTGGGGGAGCCGGGGCAGCCTGGAGCGGAGCGTGTGCTGGAGCACGGGTGGGGAGGAGAGGGGACACACGCATGGCCTGCCCGGGCCCACGGGCTGGTCTGTCTCCTCCCGCCCTTCCCAGACAGGGCCATGGACGTGGGCCGCTGGCCTGGTGTGAGTGGCACCCTGGTCACTGAGCCCTCTTCGAAGGAGACACCCATCTGGGGTCTCGGGCCACCCCTGCTGTGACAATCAGCGCGGGTGCACCTTAGATGCCCTGCGGGGTGCCGGCCCCGCCCCCGAGCCGGCGCCTGTCCGTGGCCAGCGCGAGCAGCACGCGGTCGAACCCTCCGGGCGCTGGTACCTGGATGTTGAGCCGCCCTCGGTGCGCCCCCAGGCCGTAGCGCTTCACCGTGGACGCGTGCAGCTGGAAGTCCGTGATCTTCAAGGTCTCCAGACCCAGAGGCGGGCAGTCTGAAAAGGACAGCGCAAGTCACAAACCAGGGCACAGGTCGAGAGGAGCCGCGGGCTTCTCCACTTTCACCCCGAACTCCTACGCATCATCACAGCCCCACCGGCGCGCCCGGTGTTTCCGGACAAATGTCGTCGAGGCAACCGCCTCCGTTACGCTGTCCACTCTGGGTGTGTTCGCCCCGGTGTCCCTTCTCTCAACCGCTGTGGGTGCTACTGTCTGAGGCTCTTTCCAACGGCGGGTCCTCCGACGCGTGACAGCCTGGAGCGCCACGGGTTAAACCTCAGAGCAGCCTGGGTCGAGCCCAGTGAGGCTGCGGCAGCTCAGGCCTTGGCGTTGTGCAAAGTAACGTAAACAGAAAAAATACCGTCTGTTCTTGGCAACACTGGTCACTTTGAGAAGAGCCATTAAACACAGTTGGGTCCCGGCTCCCCTGGAACAAGACGCCGGCCCCGGGCCAGCGCGGTCCCTGCGGAGAAGAGATCTAACGGCAGCCCAGGGCCGGAGCCCAGGCCTCCTGACTCTAGGCAGCTGTTCTCGGCACCCACCCTGCCAGCCGCCTCGAAATCTCCAGATCTCTACTCTTTCCTTTTCCTGTGAGGCCCTGAGCCTCTCCGCCCACCCAGCACCCGGGTTCCGCTGGCTCCCACATCCTCCTGTAACCACGGGTGGTTTAGCTCATCTGCCTTCCTGCCGCCCCACCTGGGTCAGGGCGAGTCTCGATGCCGAACCCCCCGGGGCTTGGCCGAAACTGCACAATAGACCAGCCTCCGGGTGCCCGCCTTCCCCGAATCACATCTGCACCTTTCGCGATGAACAGACCGTTGAGAACAAAGTAGCTGAAGCACAAACTCTCTACCCCGCATCTCTGAGCAAAGATTCAGGAGGCAGGGTCCCAGCTCGGAATCACGCTCCTCCTGACCCGTTCCCGGGCCGTCTGAGTGATTTACACAGAAAGTTTGGCACGGGAATCCCCACAGTTAGAAAAATGAAGGATTTTCCACACTGGACAGCAGGGAACGAATGGACAGGACAATTATCTTTTGATTTAAAGACTCTAAGTTAATTCAAGACACAGAGTCCTGAGATGTTCTCCGTATTAAATACTTGACTCGGAGGCATTCCAGTGCATTTGAACCTGACTCACTTCCTCCTCCTCTTCCTCCCCCAGGAATTCTGTCGTCAAGGTCCTATCAACATCCGAAACAGCTGCTCCTCCCGGTCGGGCTCACCCAGAAGCGGGGCAACTGTGCACGGAAGGGACACAGAAGAAACACTGCAAAGCCACTGACCCAGTCCCCTGGGCCAACGCTCCGGGTGCCCCCTGGTCCTCGAGGTGGCCCCGGGACAAGTCCAGCCCCCCTGCTGCACCCTAGACTCTGGCCATCGTCAGAACTGCTGCTCCTTGCGACCTGAAGGCAGGAGCGGAAGCATGATCCCCAGGATGGGCCAGCCCACCTCCAGGGAACCTCTGCACCGTCCAAAGCAGGACTCCAGGAGGGCAGAGGACAGAAAGGAGACACGAGGCCCTCCCGGCTCCGCTCCCTGCTTGTCCATGACCCCAGCGGAGCCAGGGCACGCGGGGCCGAGGGAAAGAAACTGGAGTCTAGAGCCCCGTCAGCCCCAGTCAGGTGGTTCGGGGCCTCTTCAGAGGCACGAGGACTTGGAAAAGTGCCCCTCCCGCCAGAGCCACGGGCTCCGCGGAAAGAGCTGGATTAAGGTGCCAGAGACACACAGACAGACACGTGGCACAGCGACACCCCCCAGCCAGCCGACGCGACCGACCGGGGAACTCCAGGAGCAACGGAGGCCTCCTCGGGCTTGAAATCCGCAGACGCGCCCTGCCCGGCGAGGAGCTCACCGTCCAACACTAGGACCCCTTCCCTCCTGCAGAAACCTGACTGAGGGAGCCGGGGAGGGCCCGGGAGGACACGGGGGAGAAACAAGTGTTTCAAAGTGTAACATCAGTATCCGTGATCGGACAAAAACAAGGCTGGACCCCAGAGACATCTTTTTTTTTTAATCCTCACCCGAGGACATTTTTGCATTTATCTTCAGATAGAGCAGGAGGGAGAGAGGGGAGAAGAGAGAGAGAGGAACATCGATGTGAGAGAGACACTGGTTACCACCCGCACGACCCCAACCAGGGCCGGGGACAAACTGCCACCGAGGTACGTGCCCTTAGCAGGAACCGAACCCGGGACTCTCTGGTCCGCAGGCCGACGCTCTAACCGCTGAGCCACACCGGCCAGGGCCCCCAGAGCGGTCCTGTGGGGACAGTAACATGTCTGTACTGTAAGCAAGACAGTAACGCCCCTGAGGAGCCGACACTGGGTTGGCGGGTGTGGGAGTCACTGGGAAACTGGTCCCAGCTCTTGGTCCTCAGTCCCTGAGTCCCCAGCCCGGCTGCACTTAGGCCTCAAGGGCAGGATCTCAGCCAGAACTCAGCTCTGGGCCCCTGTTCCAACAGCAGCCCGGAGGCCCCTGCGGGCCGCTCCGGCCTCCGACAAAGACAACAAAACCCTGCATCGGCCATCAAGTCCGTGTCTCTACGAGGAAAACACTCGGATCCGGAGCGCGTGTGGGTGACGGGAGCATGAAGAGGTGTGAAGAGACCCTTCCGGAAGATACTAACTAGAGACTGGAGATGGGCCTGGCTCTTCAAGACCACGTCCCTGCCGGGCGGGCGCTGCCTCCCAGGCCTGGGCTCCGTTCCGAGGGGACGGCGAAGACAGGGAGCTCTGCTGTGTCCTGCACCCTTCACACACACACTCACACACACACTCACACTCACACACACACAGACACACACACACTCACACACACTCACACACACAGACTCACACACACAGACATACACTCACACAGACACACACTCACACTCACACACACTCACACTCTCACACACTCACACACACACTCACAGACACACTCACAGACATACAGACACACACACAGACACACATACTCACAGACACACACACTCACACACACACTCACACTCACAGACACACACACACACAGACACACACTCACACAGACACAGACCCATACTCACACACACTCACACACTCACAGACACACTCTCACACACACTCACAGACACTCACACACTCACACACTCACAGACACACACACACTCACACTCTCACACACTCACACACACACTCACACACACACTCACACACACAGACACACACACTCACACACACACACACACATACTCACACACACTCACACACTCACAGACACACTCTCACACACACTCACAGACACTCACACACTCACAGACATACAGACACACAGACACACATACTCACAGACACACACACTCACACACACACTCACACTCACAGACACACACACACACAGACACACACTCACACAGACACAGACCCATACTCACACACACTCACACACTCACAGACACACTCTCACACACACTCACAGACACTCACACACTCACAGACATACAGACACACACACACACATACTCACAGACACACACACTCACACTCACACTCACAGACACACACACACACAGACACACACTCACACAGACACAGACCCATACTCACACACACTCACACACTCACAGACACACTCTCACACACACTCACAGACACTCACACACTCACAGACATACAGACACACACACATACTCACAGACACACACACACACACACACAGACACACACACACACACACACACACACACACACACTCACACACATACTCACACTCACACACACACACACACAGACACACACTCACACACACAGACACACACTCACACAGACACACACACTCACACACTCACACAGACACACACTCACACAGACACAGACCCATACTCACACACACTCACACACTCACAGACACACTCTCACACACACTCACAGACACTCACACACTCACAGACATACAGACACACACACAGACACACATACTCACAGACACACACACTCACACACACTCACACACACACAGACACACTCACACTCTCACACACTCACACACACAGACACACACACTCACAGACATACAGACACACACACAGACACACACACTCACATACACACAGACACATGCACTCACAGACACACACACACAGTTAACCACGCTGCCCCTGCTAAGGTTCTCAGCACGGCAGAGCCCTTTACAAAACGGGTGTTGGGTCTGTGGCACGTCACTGGTCCTCCTGGCCACGCCACCGCCATGGACCACCCTGTGCACACCAGCTCTCCAGTACCCAGAGGGTCCATTGCCTCTGACATCACGGAGGGCTTCACAGCCCGGGGCAAAGTACGAACATCGTGGACAAACTGGGGTTCCACATCCAGAGCTTCAATCCCAACACCGTTCCCCAGCACACCAAGCCGGTCTGGGAGCTGCTACGGGAGCCCAGTCACGGAGAGGTCGTGAAAAGGGTGGCCGTGTGGGGAGCAGCGGGGCGCACGTGCAAGCAGCTGGCTGAGCTGACCCTGAAGACACTTCCTTCTCACAACCACCACGAGACCCTTCTACGCGCAAACGGAGGCTGGAGGCGGCGGGAACAGACTCCCATAGCCGGGCTGTCCGAGGGAGCGCGGGGATCGAGCGTGCCGTCAGCTCCCAGGGGCCATCCTCTGGCCTGGAAACCCAAGCCTGTGATCCAAACGCAAGATGCAGGGGTGCTAGGGGTCCCCCCAGCAAAAGGAAGTGAAGCTGGGCTGGGCATCAACACTTGGCAGAGGGCAGCCCAGCGCCGAGGCCTGCTGTGCCCTCTACTGGAGACGGAGCAGAGACCCCGCCAGACCTCGAGGGCCCCGCTGCGGACGGCCGTCCTCACCCCGAGGGCCCCGCTGCGGACAGCCGTCCTCACCCCGAAAACCCGCCGCGGACGGCCGTCCTCACCCCGAGGGCCCCGCTGCAGACAGCCGTCCTCACCCCAAAGGCCCCGCCGCGGACGGCCGTCCTCACCCCGAGGGCCCCACCACCACGGACAGCCGTCCTCACCCTGAGGGCCCCGCCACGGACACCCGTCCCCACCCCGAGGGCCCCACCTCCACAGACACCCGTCCTCACCCCGAGGGCCCCGCCGCGGACGGCCGTCCTCACCCCGAGGGCCCCCCCACAGATAGCCCAGCTCTCGCTGACGCTGACGGACCGAACAGCTCCGACTCACGACATTCCTCCCTTCCCCCTTCCGACCCTGACCCCCCTCGATGGATGAGAGTAGGGAGCCAGCTCCGTGGGGCGCCAGGAAATGTGTCCAGCGGCTCTGCCCGGCTCAGAAAGCACTGCTCCCCAGAGACGCGTGCCTCCCGGGGTCTTGGGAAAGGGCGCATCTCAGCTTATCTAGCGGCCCTGGGAGAGCAACCCCATCGGAGACGACCCTGCAGACGCCACCACTGGGCTCCAGGCAGCAGTTCTCACCCCTCCCAACATCAGAACCTCCTGGGGAGCTTAAAGAAAAGGCCCCCACACCCCTCCCCACAGGCTCTGGACAGGACTGCGGGGCCCAGGCTCCGGCCTAGAGCCCCCAGGTGAGTCTCTGAGACCCTTGGAAACTGGCCGGTGTCTGTCTCTTCCTGCTGACCAGAGCCCCCTCGCTGGAAAAGCTGCCCAAGACCTTCTCCCCCATACACATCCCTCCAGTCCTACCCACCCGAGCCTGAACCCGTACGACGACATGTCCGCGTCACAGGGCAGCAGCTCAGTCTCATCTCTGAACCCCCAAAGCCCAGTGACAGTCCCTGATAACCGTGTGGCTTCGTTACGGCCCAGCGGCCCTGACAAACCTACATCTGCTCATCTTGGAAAACCAACTGTTCCTACGCAGTGTTTATAAAGCCCCCTAAAAGGAACTATTGGTTCAAAATAGCATTTCTCGAACCTCAACCACGTGCTTATTGTTTTCATGAATTTGTCCTCGTCCGCGTAACCCTGCTCTGCTTATTTCTTAATCAAGAGGGTTCCGGTGACCCCGGAGGCCCTGGGTCTGGCTGGACGTAAATGCAGAGCTGAGGCAGGGCAGCTATGAGGCCCCAGGAGGAGGGACATGATGTTGTCGCCGGGGAGGCAGGGGCATGGCGGGGGAGGTGACCAGGAGTCCAGCCACACTCAGAGATGACGGGGACCTGGCTGTGAGTGACTGTGCACTCCGAAGACAGAGCGGCTACGAAGGTTTCACCCCAACATGGGTGGCTCAGAAAAGGCACCCCTGCCGGGCAGCCCCACGCCAGGCAGCCCACACCAACCAGCCCACGCCAAGCAGCCCCACGCCAAGCAGCCCACGCCAGGCAGCCCCACTCCGGGCAGCCCACGCCAGGCAGCCCCACGCCGGCCAGCCCACGCCAGGCAGCCCCACGCTGGCCAGCCCCACGCCAAGCAGCCCATGCCAGCAGCCCACACGCTACGTAGCCCACGCCAGGCAGCCCCACTCCGGCAGCCCACGCCAGGCAGCCCCCAGCCGGGCCAGGCCACGCCAAGCATCCACGCCAGCGCCCCAGGCAGCCCCACGCCGGGCAGCCCCACGCCAAGCAGCCCACGCCAGGCAGCCCCACTCCGGGCAGCCCACGCCAGGCAGCCCCACGCCGGGCAGCCCCCACACCAAGCAGCCCACACCGGGCAGCCCCACGCCAAGTAGCCCCACGCCAAGCAGCCCACGCCAGGCAGCCCCACTCCGGGCAGCCCCACGCCAAGCAGCCCATGCCAAGCAGCCCCACTCCGGGCAGGCCCACGCCAAGCAGCCCCACGCCAGGCATCCCCACGCCAAGCAGTCCACTCCAGGCAGCCCACGGCAAGCAGCCCACGCCAAGCAGCCCCACGCCAGGCATCCCCACGCCAAGCAGCCCACTCCGGGCAGCCCACGGCAAGCAGCCCATGCCAGGCAGCCCCCACGCCAAGCAGCCCACGCCAAGTAGCCCCACGCCAAACAGCCCACACTGGGCAGCCCCATGCCAAGCAGCCCACTCCAGGCAGCCCACGCCAAGTAGCCCCACGCCAAGCAGCTCACACCGGGCAGCCCCACGCCAAGTAGCCCGCGCTAGGCAGCCACGCAGGAATCTGCAGCTCATTGGACTGGTGATGGCACTGGGCTTGGGTGCGGCTCTGCACAGGCCTCACTCACCCTCGCTGACATCACCACGGGCCACGGGGACGCTGTGATCACCACTGGCAGGCTTCTCTGAGCTCTTGGTTCTCACGCCTTTTCTGTTGCTATTTTTACCTAAAAAGAGGGGAGAGCGATGCCTTGAGTGCCACGTGTCAGCGTGTCTCGAGAACTCAGCCATGTGTCTCCCCTGCCCCCACCAGGCCCGGGACCGAGGTGCTCCTGGCTCCCGGAGAGGAAGGAGGGGTGCACACCCAGGAATCACCCGCCGGAGGCAATGCGCACGTGCGGACACTGCTGTTCCGAAGCTGCGGAATGCGTATGGCATCCCTTTGACCCTCACTGGGACCCAGAGGATGACACCCCCTCTGACTGAGGGAGCTGGAAGGCGGGACGTCTGCCCCAGAGCCAGCATCTCCCACAGGCAGAGCCTCTCACACCCCCCCGAGGCCCTGGCTGGGCACCTGGGGGCCGGGCACGAGGCTCCTTGCAGGCACCCAGGAAGCCTGCTTTCTCCATCCCGGGGCCCGCCTGTTTCCTCTCACACGCCCCTCTCTCCACTCCTGACACACAGGCCTCCTCCAGCCTGTCTCCTCCCCCCAGCCTGGGCTGCCACTCCCCCTCGTCCCCCTCGTCCCCCTCGTCCCCCTCGTCCCCCTCGCCCCCCTCGTCCCCCTCGTCCCCCTCACCGAGCGCCCTTCCCTCCTCTCCACCTAATCAACTCCTCTGACTCTGCGATCGGCTTCAGGGGTCCCCACCCCAGAAGGCTTTCCTGCACCTGCTGGGACCAGTGCCCCCCTGGGGCTGACAGAGCCTGTCCTAGGTCAAGAGGCCTCTCAGCCGAGAGGGTGCAGGGCCGCAGGTGGTTCTGAGGGGAACGGGCTCTCAGGGTTCGCCCCGGTGAGGTCGGTGGGCAGAGGAAGGGGCTAGTGGGTCTGTATTCCCAGCTGCCCTGGCACACAGCCTGACCCACGGGGGTCTCCGGAGCAGGAACCACACAGTGTGCCCCGCCCCCTGGAGACGGGCTGCTTTCCTCCTGCCGCTTAGTCTCTGGCTGCAGACTGAGCAGCGGGGGTGGGGGAGCCGGAACCTTCCAGAACCTGCTACGGAGCAGGAAGCAGCCCTGAGGCATCGCAGAGGACCCCAGCCCTGGGGGCGGGTGTACCTGCCGGGGGAGGGCCTGGGGGGTGCCAGCAGCCTCACCCATACCATCACACCCGCGCCGTGCACACCCGCGCCGTGCACACCCACGCCGTGCTCCCCTGCGCCGTGCACACCCGTGCCGTGCACACCCACGCCGTACTCCCCTGCGCCATGCACACACACGCCGTGCTCCCCTGCGCCGTGCACACACACGCCGTGCTCCCCCACGCTGTGCACACGCGCGCCGTGCACACCCGCACTGTGCAGCATTGCCACACACGTGCAACACATGTCAGTCTGTTCGTGGGGGCAGAAACGAGGTCTGGTTTTGCTCACTGCTCGGTCTGCAGAATCTGGCAGATAAGCCCTGTGACGAATGTATGAATGAATGAATGAATGAATGAATGAATGAATGAATGAAGCGATGGATCACTTGATGACCCAACTGCACAAGCCAGGGGAGGGGCACATCTGCGGAGAAAGATGCTTAGTCTGGACTTTATCAAGCAAGTCGAAACACCAAAAACATCTTGTGGACTGTGCCAATGAATGAAATCATTCCAGATTGTTCTACAGTCAGCAGCAGAAAAAAAAAAAAAAAAAAGATGCTTATCAAGAAAAACCTAAATCATCACCAATTTCAAAGGGCACATCGCCGGGCTGGCCCCGCTGAGGGCCATCTCTCTGCGCCACGTTCTTGGAATGTCTTTGATCTTTCATATAAGCTCAGAAAATTACAAAATCAAGTGTCCCCTCGGATCAAGGAAGACAATCAACCAAATGTCCAGAAAGGCAAGAGGAGGAAGGTCGGTGACTTAGGGTGCCTGATGCCAGCCTCATGCCACCTGGGCATTTGTGCCATTTCTGTGGTAGGGGTGTCTGGCCAGTGGCCTCCAAAGGCGACCTCTTCTGAAAGAGCCTGACCGGGGGTCTGTCAAGACCTTGATTGTTGGGCAAAACCAGTGACAACTCTTGAGAACGTGGAGTCTGATTTGGCAGAAAAGTAAGACATCTGGGGGGGACGTTTTACAAGACATGTGAAGGAAAAGCCGAGGTCCTAGGGGCTGTCCCATCCCGGCCCTCCCCAGAAGCCGGCCGCTCACTGCGGGCCTTCTCTGCCGGACGACCTCTCTGCAGCCTCCGTGGACAACAGGGCGGAGAAAGTCCAAAGCAGGGCCTGCTGCACCTTCAGCCTCACCTCCCATACGTGGGATCCACACCCGGACCAGGACGTCCCCGCCCAGCCCTGAGGGGAAAGAAAGTCCAGATACGGGGCACGTGTGCTACCACCCCTGCGAGCTTGATCCCCCAGGGACCAGCATGTCCCAAAGGGGCAGAGACAACAGGCAGGGCCCAGCCACCTTCTGGAAGCTCCAAGTGCTGCCACTGCACTGACCAGGTGTGTCCTCCACCACCCACCTCACCTCTCCACGCTCTGCTCCCTCCCAGTACGAGGACACACAGTGCCTGCCTCGGTGGCAGTCACAGGGAGGAGACAAACAGCGTGCAGGACACATCCGCGGTGAGGGCAGTGCCTGGCCAGGGAACCGCTGGAGGAGACCGCTCCGGCCTCGTCGGCATTACGCTGGAGCCCGTACATCACAGCACCGTTCCAGCCGCCGGAGCCTCGACAGGCAGCGTGTGCAGCGTGACTCACCCCTGACAGGCATGTTCGCTTCGATTAGAACATCCCATCTTGGCAGGTACCCGCTGAGGGCGGGAAGCTTACCGTGAACATGGATTTTCAGGGGGGCCGCTGAGGCTCAGAGCGGGAAGGGACCCACGCCGAGCTCGGACGGAGCCAGGCAGAGCTGGACTGGGGTTCCGAGTCTGGCCCTTCCCAGCCCCCCTCTTCTCTCAGATCAAGAAAGACAACATATGGTGTGTCCAGATGAAAGACGAGAGTCGAGTGGAAATCGCGAACAGAGAAGGAGCCAGAATTAAATCAACATCTCCATCTGGGCTGCGCGACAAAGCTGAATTCCTTAAAAGTAGCAAAACAGAATTGCCAGTGGGGCCCCATGCTCTGTTCTGGTCTGTGGTGATGGACAGAACGCTTCTTGGTTTATAGGAAATGATTTCCCCTCTCTGTACAGAGAGCTCACAGTAGCGAGTCCCAGAAAATGAAACATTCTTTGCAGCACATTTGCATTTTCCCCAGGAAATTCCAGTCCAGCTGCTTCTGCCCTGCTCTTGTGCAGGGCTCAGCCCGGCCCTGAGCGCCTGGCCGGCCTCTTGCTAAGGAACCACCTAGTGGGGAGCCTCCCCCACGCACAGGGGTTCTCGGGACAGGCCCAGTGCAGCCGCGGGCACGGAGGCAGACAATGCTGACAGCTTTCTGAAGTACTGCCGAGAGCCCGTCTGCAGAGGACCCACGCGAGAGCCGGGGGTCCCTGACGGTGAAGGTGAAAATCCTAAATAACGTGGTGACAAACTCACGCTCCAGTGGGCGTTAGCAGAGGGGCCATGGCGTGGAGAGGGAAGAGCCTATGTCCTTATCTGGTCTGAGCCTGTCAAGCTCCCCTCAGAAACAGGTTCCCCAGGGAGCAGGTGAACTCTGAAGGAGGCTGAGTGGCTGAATGAGGCCCTTGCTTCTGCCACTCGGTGACCTGGGTCGTCTGGGGTGGAAATGGAGATACCAGTGCAATTTTCCAAATCTTTCACCAGAGCTAGACAAAATCAACTAACTAACCAACCAACCAATCAACTGACCAACCAACCAGCCAACCAATCAACCAACCAACCAACTAACCAACCAACTAACCAATCAACTGACCAACCAACCAGCCAACCAACCAACCAGCCAACCAGCCAACCAGCCAACTAACCACCAACCAACCAGCCAACCAGCCAACCAGCCAATCAACCAACCAACCAACCACCAACCAACCAACCAACCAACCAGCCAATCAACAAATCAGCCAACCAACCAATCAATTAAAAGCCCTCTTCACCTGTGTCTTCCCCATCAGCTTCTGCCCTCCTCTGGGCCAGCTTTTGTGCAAAAGGCTTGGTCTTCACCAGGGTCCCTGGGCATGCGGGACAGTCACTTCCTGCCTCTATGCAGCCATAGCACCTTCCTACTTGCAAGTAAAGAGCTCTTTACAGAAAGAGCCACCGCCGTGAGGGTAACAGGCGGGGGTGTGGCGGGGCCGTGCGGGGCAGCGCTGGTACTTGCTGTCTCGGCCTGGGTCTGGCCTGGAAACAGCCTGAGACAAGGCCTTGGAGCGGGAGTGTCTCTGGGAGGTGATTTCACAAAGCAGTGGAGGGACAGAGACATGGAGGAGGAAACATCAATTATCCAGGCTGTGTGTTGGACAGGACCCTCGGGGACTTCACCTGGCTGGGGACTCTGGGGACCTGGATAGAAAGTGCCTCTGGACAGTCCCTCTCAAGGCTGGGGGGCTGCGTGGTGACCCCTCTAACCTCACGCCACCTTGGACAGTCCCTCTGAAGGCTGGGGGGCTGCGTGGTGACCCCTCTAACCTCATGCCACCGTGAGAAGTGTGCTTATTGTTACTCCCATGTCACAGTGACTAGTCCGAGGTTTGGAGAAGTCACGTGGGCCTGTAGGTGGCAGAGCAAATTGTGATCCCTGCTCTCTCCAACTCCTGAACAAACTTTCCAAATACCTACACATGTCAGGCACGGATTTGCTAGTCCACAAACATCTGTGGCTTTGGGTTGTAAATTAGCATTTGCAGGTGTTTTGTAACATTGTAACCGTCCTATGGTGCTCAGAGGAGTAGCAGACTGGGTGCCAGCCAGTTGTGGATATCAGCCCTTCTGGAGCCACCCAAAGACACCCCAGTTTCATGGGTTTCATGATCCCAGAGGGGTCTGAGAAAGTCACAGAGGACACAGCCTTTGCTGGACTCTCCAAACCTCAGAGCAAGGCTCCGTAGCCCCTGGGCACATCCAGTGGAGACTTCACCTCCAAGTGCAGGCTCCAGGGCCAGGCTGCCCTGCGCGGGCACCGACGGCATCGCCCACCCTGAGGTCTGCCAGTGTGGATGCCCAAGGCACAGGAAACACTGTGGCTGTTTTAGGAACCACAGCCTCCAATGCAGCCCCCCCAAACACAGTGTCTCCCCTTCATTATCCACGCACCAACCCTGGCTTCCGGAGCCATGGCCACAAGCATGGGGATCTGCCAGCATGAATAGTTGACTTTGGAGAACATTCTGGAAAGCGGTGTTGTCTCGACAGCTGTCTGCTGATGTGGACGAAACATCCTTTTCTGTAAAACACCCTTCCCCTCAGGATTTTGTAGGCAGTTATCTGGATGACACACTTTGGATTTAATTCTTCGAGTGAGCGTGTAACAGCACGACGTGAAGATTTCCTGTGGCTGCTGGTAAAACACGCACTGAAGTGTGTACAAACGCATTCTCCTCGCCTCGCCCTCCAGCCTTGCCCGCGAGGAGACGTTCCCACGCGAAGGCCCAACCAAGCAGGACGTCCTAGAGCCGGGCAAGGCCTGGGAGCGACGCTGCTCCCGGCAACGGGCACGGCACACAGAGGGGCTTTGTGTACGGCCCGGCGTGCTCAAGTAACGACGCCGCGGTTCGTGCCAGGGGCTGGGGCACAGCAGCACAGAATGCAGACGCACAGACTCTGGGCACACGCACAAACGTGGCTTGAGGCCCACTCTGCAAACCCCGGGACTGAGGCTGGGGTGCAGGGTGCGCACCGTCAACAGCGGCGGCTCATCCCTGTCCTGGGAGAACGCGGTAACAGGCGGAGACCCAGGTGAAGCCTACCCGACTCCTCCGTCTACACCTAAGCCCAGGCACGCGGGGGAGGGAGGAAAATGAACTTCCAATCACCTGTTCAGGGTCTCGTTTATTAGCTGTTTGCTCCTCATTGCCACTTGGGAAAGAAAAGTCTAAGTGAGTTAGGTGACTATGTTTCCCTCTCTATTTTATTTTATATAAAAATAGTATGGCCACAAACCAAGGTCACCAACTTGCAGTAAGTACACCCCAAACCCAGAGTCGTACCCCAAATGTGAACCCTGGCCTACTCTTCACCCTGGGCTGGTGAGAACCAGGACCTGAGCATCGCTCTCTTGATTCCAAAGTATTCCAGCCCAGGCATCGAGCGGCTGCTGGGTCCTGCTGGGAACCGCTGTCTGCACTGGGAAGAGGCAAGTCGGGTTCCGTGAAGGCAACATTGTAGCCATCGGTGTGCCTCGGAGGGACACAGCCCATCAGGAGAGTGTGGGCAGGACCCGGGTCCGCCTGCTGGCGTCTTGCAGAGAACGAGATTCGCTGCACCCGCAATGACCTCTTGGTTTCCTCCAAGTCCTCCAAGTCTGGGACGAGCTGACGGTCGCAAAGAGGACGTCAGAGGTTGCACGACACCGAGTCCCACTCGGCCTCAGAAAAGGACTGCACAGCTCTGAATCCCGGGAGTGGTGGTTCCACACATCTGCACGCGTCATAAAGCCTCAGAGAAACACACACGCACACGCACACACACACGCGGCCGGAAATGCGACGCTGCCCAGGGTGAGAAGTCCCTCGACACGGTGCTCAGCGACGCCATCAGTGGGGGAAGCTGGGTGACGGGTACACAGGACCCCACTGCACTGTTTTTGCAGTTTCCTGTGAATCTATAATTATTTCAATATAAAAACATAAAAAGTTTTTAAAGATTCAAGTCTGCTCAGTGTGTCAGAGCCCTCCTTCCCTGGTAGTCGCCCCTCGAGGGACAACCAGGCTCCCGGTGAACCCGTGGATGCCGCTGCCCACACCAACCCCAGGACGGCAGCCTGTGGCCTCCAAGGCACAGGCCCGTGGCCGCGTGACAGGGCAGCCAAGGGGCAAAGCCAACACTGCCACAGTCCAATCCCGATGGCCGGGTCCCCAAGGCACCCCTGCCTGTCGGAGCACCTGCCTCTGTCTGCCCCTGAGCCCAACCAATGTGCAGGCAAGGGCCACCTGGGAAACACCGTCTGCAGAGAGAACGCAGACTAAGTTAGTGCTGTACGCTCCCACATCCCCCCTCATTTCCGCAGCTAACCTCCCCGGCCCCTCCGTGCCTAGACGGAGCTGGGTGTGGAGTGTGCACCACCCACCCCGCGCAGCCCCGCCTGAAGCTCACATCAATCGCCCCGACCGGGCCCAGTGTGGCTTCTCCTCCGCAATCCGCCCCTTCCTGAGACGTTACGGGCCTGCCCGGGAAACGCTGATGCAGAGCCAGGCTTCTGCCCCATCACCAGCAGGGCGCACATCAAGCCACCGCGCGAAGTGGGGAAACAGATTTTCTGAGCATAGTTTAATGGCACAACACTGTCACTGACTCCCCGAGTCAAGGTCACCTTAACCCAGTCTCCCCACTTCGGGTCCAGGGTGAGGAACTGCACTGGTAGGAGCTGAAAGTCTGTGATCCGCGGCACCCTCTGCTTTCATGGTTGGGGTGCTCTACAATGCCGTCTGGAGGCAGCAGCCCTCCCCCCAGAGGCCTCCAGCTGAGCGTCTGAGCAGAGTCTGAGGTTTGCAAGGACCTGTTTCCAGTTTGGGGATCAGCCCTCCAGCCTTTACTGTCTCAGAGGTCCTCAGCTTCGCCCCGGAGGGCGGGGAGGGGCTGCCTTGCTCTCCTGCCCCAGGACCTCACCCAGCACCCGTGCTGAGCAGGGCTGGCGAAGACTGTGGAACAGATGGATGGTTCCCAGAAGGACCAGACAACCAGGCACCGACACACGGGGGAGGCTGTTGAAAAGCTTCTAGAACAATCAACGAAGTGAAGTGAGGTAGCAGGGCCACACTTCCCACCGGCAGACGAGGAGGCCGAGGGGCCCAGGCGCTGGGGCCAGGCCCGGACATGGTGCAGGTGCCACCCTCAGCTCAGCCTGGGGTTCCTTCCACAGGCCCCCTACGCCACACCCCGCCCCAGTAAATACCAGCACCTAACATACGTGTCTTCCACGAAAATAAAATGAACGTATGCAAATTTGATTCCGACTACCCAACCAAAAGGGGAAGGACTTCCAAATCCCCAAGCCGGCGGGTGGCACTGGGCAGGGCCTCGGGTCCCTCGTCTGTAAATAACAAGCCGATCCCTGGGAGCCCCTGGAAGGCTCGCCGTGGGTGTTCTGCACACGTGAGTGTCTCTTCCCACTCCTGTCCCGCTGTGGCTCTTCCGAACCTTAATTCTCAGAGTGCTGCAGAAAATGCTGGAAATGCCGGCCGGTTCTGCTCGGGTCGCACAACTCACGGGACTGCCCGCCGACTCCCAGAGGGGCCTGCAGCCGAAATACGCAGGAGGCCCCGCCCTGAGCACATCGAAGGGGCTGCTGACAGGGTCCGAAATCAGGAGTGTCTCCATCCCCACCCCCTCCCTGGCCTGGGCACCGGCTTCCAGGGGCAATTTAACCAACCGATGGCGATTCCTTCCACGCAGGGGCCGAGCCGGGCGCCGCGCACGCATCGCCTTTCAGACAAGGCCACGGCCAGGCCAGAGAACTTGGCCACGTGCCGGCTCCCCCCTCCATCCTGAAATGCGAGGACGAAGCCCTTTGCAATTTGAGGAAAGAACACTTGAAACGATTAAGCGAGAGCCCCCTTCACAAAGAGTGTAAGAAACAGAATGGAAGTCACTTCTCCAAGACAGGGCTGGCAGAAACCGGGCGTGGATTTCAGAAGGGCGGGGAGACAGATGGAAGACAGGGCACCCGGGCTGCGGGACCACTGGCCTTCCTGGGGTGCTCAGCTTGCCCTCTCCACGGGGTCACCAGGTCCGGCTGCGCCCCGCAGAGGCTCCGCCATCCAGCCCCCCCGGGGCTCCGCCATCCGGCCCCCCAGGGGCTCCGCCATCCGGCCCCCCAGAGGCTCTGCCATCCGGTCCCCCAGGGGCTCCGCCATCCGGCCCCCCCAGAGGCTCCGCCATCCAGCCCCCCAGAGGCTCCGCCATCCAGCCCCCCAGAGGCTCCGCCATCTGGGCAGAGGGTTCAAGGGAGACAGGCAGGAGAGGGGGAGGCAGCTGAGAGAGGGCACTGGCTGGGTTAAGGTCCACTGCTGAGCTGTCCCCAGAAGGCCACTGTGCCAAAATACACCAGCCATTCACATCCCGAACCAGAAACTTGCTCTCAAGAAAACTCCCTGTGGGAAGATCGAAAACCAGGCAGAGAAGGAAGTGTCCCACAGAAGGATCCTTTGCTCAGAAAACTTCAAACTTGGCACAAGAGGTCCCCAGCTCCCCAGGCAGCTCCCCAGGCACAGGTCTGCCTCTACCTGAGGGGTGCCGGCCGGGTTTAAGTTCTGGGGAGCTGCGAGGGCCGGTGGGTGCGCAGCGCAGTCTCTAGAAACCGGGAGGGGCAGGGGCGGGGGAGGGGGCAGCGATGAGGAGGCTCACAGGGCTCTCCCCCCACACACAAGGACAGGGAAGCCACTCCCGGTCGAACTCAGAGGGCCACCGCGGGGAGAGGCTGGGGACCGCCCAGCGCAGAAAGTTACTTACCTGGAGGAGGTGCCTCTGAAGCCAGCTTCTCCCTCTTGGGCGCTTTCCTGGGCTTGGTCGCCTTCTTGGGCGGCCTGGGCTCTGGCGTGCGCGGTCCCCGCACCTCCTCCCCCGCTCCCGCGGGCAGCGGCGGCGAGAAGGGCTGGGGCTCGGGCTCCGGGCGCGCGTAGTAGGGCTCCTGGCTCCAGATCTCCTGCACGTAGTAGTCGGGGTCCTGGAGGTCTGCGCCCTGGGCCCCAACCCCAGCTAGTGCCACCTCCAGGAGCGCGACGGCGAGCGCCACCGCGGCGGCCCCCGGGCGAGCCATGCCCACTCCGCCCCGCGCCCTGGGCAGGGTCACGGTGGCCGGCGGGCGGGCGCGGACGGCAGCGCGGGCAGGGGCACAGGAGGCTGCCGGCCGGCGGCGCGTGTGACCGGCCCGCCGGGCTGGGCTGGGCTGGGCTGGGCTGGGCTGGGCAGGGCCAGGGGCGGGCAGGGGCCGGCAGGCGCGGGGCGGGCGCAGGGGGACCGGCCCCGCCCTTCCTTCTTCCCTTCCTTTCCTGCCAACCCGAGGCTGCGGGCCCTGGGAGGCAGGTGTGGAGACCTCTCCATCCGAGTAACTGCCTCCGGACCTCCCCTTCCCTGCCAGGGAGCTGCCCTGCTGGGCGCTGCCTCCCCAGAGATTCACAGCAGTTCCCACCTGGAAGGAGGCTGGAGGCCGCTGGTCCGTCCTCCACTCCGTGTCACGGGCTGGAGACACGGACCCTCCAGGAGTCATGCGCGACCTGCTGGGCACACACACCTCTGCCCAACTTGACCCTGGTCCTATTCCAGGAACTGTGAATAGAATTCCTGAGCCCGAGGGGCCAGGGTTCAGAGGAGCAAAGCATCCACGGTGCCAGGGCCTAGACTCTGGGGGATCCCTGCTCCCACCGGGGACCCAGACTTTGCGTGCAAAGGGAGGAAGCAGCCTTGTCCTGGGCCTGGGCGGTCACGGGTGACTCAGGTTCATCCTCAGAGCAGCTCCTGCCAGCCACCCCACCCCCACCCTGTGGTGGGCAGGGCGGGCCCTGAGCCTTCGGAGAAGGCCCTCTGCCCTTGGACGACTGTGTGCTGGCCCCTCAGGCTGGGGGTTGGGGATCCTGGCCTACACTGTGTTTCTTTTCTAATTGCTTTTCCTCATTGGTTTTCTGTTGCCGCTGTAACCAATGACCACAGCGTCATGGTGACCACAACAGGTGCTTAGTGTTACCTAAGGGCAGATGGCTGAGCAGGTGTCATCAGCCCAAATCAGGCCTCAGCCAGCTGTGCTGAGTGGAGCCCCTGGGGAAGAGCCTCCCGGCTCCCGCTGGGTGCTGGCTGAGCCCATCCCCCGGGTCGCACTGAGGGCCGCTGGGTGCTGGCTGAGCTCATCCCCCCGGGTCGCACTGAGGGCCGCTGGGTGCTGGCTGAGCTCATCCCCCGGGGTCGCACTGAGGGCTGATGGGTGCTGGCTGAGCCCATCCCCCTGGTCGCACTGAGGGCCGATGGGTGCTGGCTGAGCTCATCCCCCCGGGTCGCACTGAGGGCCGCTGGGTGCTGGCTGAGCTCATCCCCCGGGGCCGCACTGAGGGCCGATGGGTGCTGGCTGAGCCCATCCCCCGGGTCGCACTGAGGGCCGATGGGTGCTGGCTGAGCTCATCCCCCCGGGGTCGCACTGAGGGCCGATGGGTGCTGGCTGAGCCCATCCCCCCCGGGGTCGCACTGAGGGCCGATGGGTGCTGGCTGAGCTCATCCCCCCGGGTCGCACTGAGGGCCGATGGGTGCTGGCTGAGCTCATCCCCCCGGGTTGCACTGAGGGCCGATGGGTGCTGGCTGAGCTCATCCCCCCGGGGTCGAACTGAGGGCTGATGGGTGCTGGCTGAGCTCATCCCCCCGGGGTCGAACTGAGGGTGGATGGGTGCTGGCTGAGCTCATCCCCCCGGGGTCGCACTGAGGGCCGATGGGTGCTGGCTGAGCTCATCCCCCTGGTCGCACTGAGGGCCGATGGGTGCTGGCTGAGCTCATCCCGCCGGGGTCGCACTGAGGGTGGATGGGTGCTGGCTGAGCTCATCCCCCCGGGTTGCACTGAGGGCCGATGGGTGCTGGCTGAGCTCATCCCCCCGGGGTTGCACTGAGGGCTGATGGGTGCTGGCTGAGCTCATCCCCCGGGGTCGCACTGAGGGCCGATGGGTGCTGGCTGAGCTCATCCCCCGGGGTTGCACTGAGGGCTGATGGGTGCTGGCTGAGCCCATCCCCCGGGGTCGCACTGAGGGCCGATGGGTGCTGGCTGAGCTCATCCCCCGGGGTTGCACTGAGGGCTGATGGGTGCTGGCTGAGCTCATCCCCCCGGGTCGCACTGAGGGCCGATGGGTGCTGGCTGAGCTCATCCCCCCGGGGTCGCACTGAGGGCCGCTGGGTGCTGGCTGAGCCCATCCCCCCGGGGTCGCACTGAGGGCCGCTGGGTGCTGGCTGAGCTCATCCCCCGGGGTCGCACTGAGGGCCGCTGGGTGCTGGCTGAGCTCATCCCCCCGGGGTCGCACTGAGGGCCGCTGGGTGCTGGCTGAGCCCATCCCCCCGGGGTCGCACTGAGGGCCGCTGGGTGCTGGCTGAGCTCATCCCCCGGGGTCGCACTGAGGGCCGTGCTCTGGCTGTCGGCCCGGCCGGGGTTTGTCTTCTGGTTCCTTCTAGCGCTTTCCTTGCCGAGATCCTGGTGGCCTCTCTCTGGCCTGTGGGTTCGCATCTCCGGCCAGCACGGTCCCCTGGGTCCCCCTACGGCTTCCCCTTCTGCCACATCTTCCCTCCTTCCAGCTGGAGCAAGTGCCCCCCAGACAAGCCAATGACCCCTCTCCTAAGTGACAACCTCAGCCACATCTACAAAGTCCCTTTCGCCACAAAACCAACATGCTCGTGGGTCCCCAGGACCCAGGTAGGGATGCCTTTGGAGGGCCATTCTGCCTCCCACAGGGACAGACTGGCCCTCGTCTCTAAATGGTCGTCACCCTCCCAGGCCCAATGGACCCTGCTGTGCCAGGATGCCAGTGACCTGAATCTGGACCCCTGGGCCAGGCCTCCCCGCTTTCTTGCTGTCACACCTCTGAGCCCACCCTGTGGGCAGGGGGTGGGCCAGGACAGCTGCCGACCTCTGCCTCCCGCCTCCCCCATTTGCCAGCCCGTTTGTCTCATTGCCCCTCCCCCCAAAAGGCCACCTAACCAGGCCCTCCTTCAGGGCAGTTCTGCTGGTGTCCCAGGCCGAGGCCAAAGCAAAATGGCCTTGGGGAGAGGGGGCTGCAGGCTCAGGCAGGCCCAGCTTGTCTCCCCACCAGGAGGCCTGGGACCTGGCCGCTGAACCCCAGGACCTTCCAGAACCCGGAGCCAACAGGGGTCTCCAGAGTGAGAGAGGAGGTGGGCCCTCCTGCCCCAGCCCCGTCCTAGCAGGAGGCCCTCCTGCCCCAGCCCCGTCCTAGCAGGAGGGCCCTCCTGCCCCAGCCCCATCCTAGCAGGAGGGCCCTTCTGCCCCTCCTGCCCCAGCCCCGTCCAGCAGGAGGGCCCTCCTGCCCCAGCCCCGTCCTAGCAGGAGGCCCTCCTGCCCCAGCCCCGTCCTAGCAGGAGGGCCCTCCTGCCCCAGCCCCGTCCTAGCAGGAGGGCCCTCCTGCCCCTCCTGCCCCAGCCCCGTCCTAGCAGGAGGGCCCTCCTGCCCCAGCCCCGTCCTAGCAGGAGGCCCTCCTGCCCCAGCCCCGTCCTAGCAGGAGGGCCCTCCTGCCCCAGCCCCGTCCTAGCAGGAGGGCCCTCCTGCCCCTCCTGCCCCAGCCCCGTCCTAGCAGGAGGGCCCTCCTGCCCCTCCTGCCCCGGCCCCGTCCAGCAGGAGGCCCTTCTGCCCCGGCCCCGTCCAGCAGGAGGCCCTTCTGCCCCGGCCCCGTCCTAGCAGGAGGGCCCTCCTGCCCCTCCTGCCCCAGCCCCGTCCTAGCAGGAGGGCCCTCCTGCCCCTCCTGCCCCGGCCCCGTCCAGCAGGAGGCCCTTCTGCCCCGGCCCCGTCCAGCAGGAGGCCCTTCTGCCCCGGCCCCGTCCTAGCAGGAGGCCCTTCTGCCCCGGCCCCGTCCTAGCAGGAGGCCCTTCTGCCCCGGCCCCGTCCTAGCAGGAGGCCCTTCTGCCCCGGCCCCGTCCTAGCAGGAGGCCCTTCTGCCCTGGCCCCGGCCAGCAGGAGGCCCTTCTGCCCCGGCCCCGTCCTAGCAGGCCTGGGCGGGCTGGTCCGTGGCCTCCTCTGGGCGCCTGCCCTCTCTACCCCATGGTATATCCCCAGGGATGACTCCCACGGGTGCTTTTCTCTGAAGCTAGGCACTCCAGCCAATGCAACAGGTCAGCTCGGGGGCCTAGGGGCACCCGGAAAGTGGCTCCTGCGCCCACCCACTGAGAAGTCCCAGCCAGCTGCGTGAGCGGGGGGTGGGGGGGCGCCTGGCATCCCGACATCCCGGGAGGGGCCTCAGAGACCATCCAGGCCAGAGTCACACCCTGCGCCAGCTCCATCAGAGACCCCAGAGCTCCCCAAACATGGAGACGCCAGACCCCACCCCAGACCTGCAGACCCTCCGAGAGGTGGCCCGGGCACGGGCAGGTCTCTGAAGCTCCTCAGTAACTGACACAGTGAAAGCGTGAGAGCAGCCCCCCTCCCAGTTTGCAGAGGAGACAGGCCCAGGACACACAGCAAACGGGTGACACTCAGGACCACACCCTCCTCTTCTGCCCTCATCCGGTGTCTCCCGTCAGGCAGCCGGAATCCGCGCGGCCCCAGCCCGAAGGTTCTGAGCACGTGGGGCGTTCCTGGCACCTCCCAGTAAATAGATGGAGACACGCGTGCTCTGCGGTGGTGGTGAGCGTGCGAGACCGCCCCTGCAATCAGGAAGTGGGTCCCACGGATCACCGTCCCCTCCATCGCTGCTTGCTTGTTTCCCACGGAGGGACGTGTGGTTAAAGCAAGCGGGACAGACAGAAGGAGAACGATGGCACGGACGCGGACTCCGCACGCGCAGCAGCCACGGCCGCCCAGGAGCCGCCTGTCTGCCCCGGGGTCCCTCCCTGGGGCTGCCCGCCTGCAGTCTGCGGGGCACAGCTGGCGTCAGGGGCGTGGCCAGGCAGGACGGCACAACTGGCCTTGTCTTCTTGGTCTGCCAGCCTCACCGGCTTCCCAGCACCGCCTGTCCACTCCGCCCTGCCCCCTCTTCAGCTTCCCCAGGCAGACAGACCCCTCTCTCCCGAACCGTCTGTTAAACACGGGGGTGGGCAAAGGAGGTTCACAGTTGTGCGTATGGAAAT